CAGTCAACAGATTCTAAAGTAGCTTAAATCAATTGCCTGGATGGTATCGCACTTACTGATTGGCTAATAGTTGGTGGCTTAAGTGACTTTTGTATCTGTCGATTGCCTTTAAATTCATCATTTACTCATAAAACAGCCATGTCAAAATGTATCAGTTTTTCAGTTTTCACACAGTTGTGCAGAGTCTGGCCTATTGAAACTGAACCAAATTAGACGTTCAAGAACGTTATGAGAAAATTGATGTCATAAGATAGGCAATGGGCCGATTAGATTTTATTTTCTAGCCAAGTTTTATTTTCTTTTGAAAATTAAATTCCAGAATGTAGTTGCGATAGCAGATACTGAAAGTTAACTTTTGGAAGCGTTTTTAAATACATGACATCACCAGAGTTTTTTAATGTTAAGTTCATTCTACGCAGCTTTCCAACCTGTTGGCGTTTCAGTGTGAGCTGGAAGTTAACAACGAAAAGATATTGGATGACATCGTCTCGACGTTTATCGATGAGCTTTGTTCCCCTACGTCAAAATACACAAACGACCAGGTAAAACGGTCTTTATTTGGGCCTTAAAAGCCTCGCTCCAAAATTTTTATTATTCTAGTAGATTTTTCCTGTAACCGCCCAATTCCTGTTTACCGATAATGTTGAGTATTTGATCAAAATATATCTTTGAAAGATCATGACTTTGTTTGTGTGATTTGTTAGCCTGGCAGAGAATATTTTGGTTTAGCCTATACTTGATTCTATTTTGCTACTTCAGACTTGACTCTATTTTGCTACTTCAGACTTGATTTTATTTTGCTACTTCAGACCGTCAACGCTTTGAAGAATTGCATCACCATTGTCCAGACGGAGACATCGGGCAAATTGGAATCCACAAGGTATTGAATTATTGATACATTGTTTCGATTGACATGTCTTCTAATGTCCCAATTAATTCAATGGCATCAAGATGATATTCTGATTAATTCATTCTGCATTCAACAATTATTTTTCTATCGTTGTATATGATTGTTCTCTAATCTTTTCCTTTGTATGACACAACTACAACACGAGCTCTAATGTTTTGCGTAATGTTGGATTTTCTGTAACTTCTCGTTCATAGAAGCCTTAATATGAAGTTTTCATTGACCCTTTGAGCCCTGGTAATGTCGTATTTATAAAAAATTAACTGTGATAATTCGTGAGTGATACTGCCACACTGATTAACAGTAAACACTGAACCGCGAGTGGTATGAGCAGGGTTGCCAGGTGGTATGGGTACTAAGTAGCCAAACCGTTTATGAAAATAGGCCAAATCACGTCAAAATAGGCCAAATTTACTCATAACACAATGCCGTCATAGCACAGGTGAAATAAAAATTAAGCTTAGTTTGCAGTATGTCCGTTGCCCTTTCCATCAGCAGACTCTGTTAGCCAGACATATTGCGCTTCCTAAGACTTCTTGTACTTCCTTGCACTGCAATATCTACCTTGCCACTTGGTCGACATAGATTAGAAACTTGAGAATTAAATAATCATTCACTATTTATTGTAACTTTTTACAAATCGGTAGATCAATCTCTGCGATTATGTGTGTTATTGATTAGTGAAAAATTGCCAATTCTATTTCAAAATGGGTTTGTAAAAAGCAAGCACTTGAGTCATACTGAAGCTTCTAGTCAAGAACTCTTCAGAGTTTAAAACGTTAGAACATAGATCGAAAACGTTTAAAGTTTTGTACCACCAAAAATTGTTTGAAAATTCTATTAAAATGAATTATCTACGAGCACCTACTCAGGTTGAAAAAGGGGAGGAGAGGGAGCTAAGGGAAACTTAAACAGCCATGAAATGAGATTTTGAAAAAAGCTCTATTGTTTTGGAGGAGAGTGGGGGGCATGGCCACTCGGCCCCCCTTTCATCGTAGGCCCAGTTATCAAAGGAAATACTCGAAATGTAAGTCAATCAAATATTGAAAAAATAAGCTATAGCAATGACTTCACGTCGTTACATGAGAAATTCAGACACTGATCCATTTGGAATTGAATCAATCTGATCCATTTGGATTAAATCAATGCTACCTCAAGTGTCTGTCTGGTTCATGGACATAATATGATTATCCATTTTATGATTTTATGGGGTTTTAATCTCATTTTCGAACATTCCCTTAGGAGGCCAAAAATAGCCAAAAGGAGGCAGGAGGCGAAAGGTAAAATTTCGTAGCCAAACATTCCTAAAAAAGGCCAGAGTTCTCAAATTTGGCCTCCAAGTAGGCCAGTTGGCAACCCTGGTATGAGGCAGCAACATTTTAAAAATGGCCTTGGCCATGTCTAGAAGAAAACAGCAATATATTTGTTGCAGATAACATATTCATTTGATGCGCCGTCCAGAAAGGAATCTCTTGAAGATATAGTCCTTTTAAAACATGTTGTTTCGCGTAGATGCAGAAGTTCTGATTCTATGTCATTGAGGTGCATAATTACATTCCTAAAAAAGGCCAGAGTTCTCAAATTTGGCCTCCAAGAAGGCCAGTTGGCAACCCTGGTATGAGGCAGCAACATTTTAAAAATGGCCTTGGCCATGTCTAGAAGAAAACAGCAATATATTTGTTGCAGATAACATATTCATTTGATGCGCCGTCCAGAAAGGAATCTCTTGAAGATATAGTCCTTTTAAAACATGTTGTTTCGCGTAGATGCAGAAGTTCTGATTCTATGTCATTGAGGTGCATAATTACATTCCTAAAAAAGGCCAGAGTTCTCAAATTTGGCCTCCAAGAAGGCCAGTTGGCAACCCTGGTATGAGGCAGCAACATTTTAAAAATGGCCTTGGCCATGTCTAGAAGAAAACAGCAATATATTTGTTGCAGATAACATATTCATTTGATGCGCCGTCCAGAAAGGAATCTCTTGAAAATATAGTCCTTTTAAAACATGTTGTTTCGCGTAGATGCAGAAGTTCTGATTCTATGTCATTGAGGTGCATAATTTTATTTTGTGAATGCATATCTGTGTATACCTGGCCTTAGGCTGTTTTCATTCAACACTCATCTCTCTAATAAATGTTTGGCAATGATTCAAAAACCTTTGTATAGAAAAACCCAGATGCAGGTGTTGGAGATGCAATTGGAAATGCTAATAAACAATAAAATAGGAGGCACCTGATTTGTCAAATAAAGAAAAACTCCTCTTCTCATTAAGACATTAATAGACAATGAAAGAATGGTATAGAATGAGTAGCTTTTCATCTTTTCAGTTTTCTAAAGAGAAGCTAAAGGGGGGCGCTGTTGCGAGCATCAAAGCTTTATACTCGCAACGGATCTCTATTTAATATGCATGGAAATTAGATGCAATAACACAAGCATAAAATCTTGCACTCACGTGTTACATTATGCCCCTTAGGATGAAGCTGAAAGATTGTCTTCAGAAGCACTGGGCCACGATGACGTATCTAACAATCGAGCATGGTGATGTTGGGCATCAAAGTTTAAAATTACTGGAATACATCAATTTGCCTCCGCAACAGAGTTTGCCGCAAGTATTTACTGCTTGCCAGAACCTCATCACGACATATTTCAGTTTACTTAGCAAAGTTTTGAATCATTCAGACAATGACGGTATGTCGGTTTACCTCATTGATAGAAAACGATGTTTTCATATTTTGTTTTTAATTTGAAACACCATTTGACCTTGCTAGAGAAGGAAGAGTGTGAATTATCATCCTTCAATTTGCTTAAGACAGTAGGACTGTAAAATATTTGCGAAAGGCTGTTTCGAGGGTCTGATGATAAAGATTCCTGGGGATAAAGAAGCCCAATTTAGTAAAGCCGTTGTGATTTCATTTTCGCACTTTCTGCCTTGTATTTCTTTACGAAAGGAATAATGGTTGATAGAGACTGTACTGTTCTTTAAGGCAACAATTCAAAACATTTTCAATCAGAAATTTGAACAGTTGCAAAAAAACTTAACTCTTATTGTAGTCATTTCATTCGTTAGACGTTATCTGAATTTGAGCAACAGATCAAGAAGGTATATAGTACGTTCGGTGTGAAGTGGTCATTGTACAGAGGGGGCTTCTATCGGGGAATGAGGCTAATGTAGTTGAGGCACCCTTGTAAAAATGGCTGATTAAGAATCACTTTGTGTAGTATGGTATAACGTGCTTGATTTTGATGTATTTTTATTATCCAGCAATTTTGGTTTCCTTGTACAGATTTGTGGGAGATGGTGCTGTCTAGCGAGACCTTGCTCATTCTTCTTGTAAAACAGAACACAATCGTACAAAACACTGCAAGCAGGCAGTTTGTTGAAACTCTGCTCATGGAGGTAGGTTCTGTTTTCACTCGAAAAACTCTGCTTTCTTTTTTGTTATTTTTCCATTTCGGCTATATCTGGAGTAGAAAGCTTTGTTTAAAGTTGTGCTTTGTGTACAAAAATTAGCCAAAATTAGATAGCTGCAAGGGGCATGATGGTTCTTTTTAAATGTGACTTTTTTCTGCGATCTTCACTGTTCTAAAGTTTGAATTTTTCCCTTTTTTATAGGCCTCTTTGTTGTTGACACTTGGTTTTTTTTCTTTTTACAGGAAAATATTAAACTTGTTACAGAAAACTTTAGCAATGCAGGTACATTTCTATATATAGATTGTATCAGCTAAGTTATTTTTTCAGCTGAAAGATCTCAAAATGTTTGTCACTTATCAAAGTCCTTCCCGCAAAACGTTTAATGGATATTTTCAGTAGTGAAAGACTCACATAGTTTTGTTTCTTTCGTTCATTTAGATAGTTCTAGAAGACCACATTACCAAAACACGTTTTACACCAATTGTGTAGAAGTTTATCCAAATTCCACCCAATGTCTCAGTGGCCCAAATTTCGTTTTATTTCTATATTTTCCTATTCGACAGTTTATAATTTAAACGCAACAATATAGTCGTATGGCTTCTGTATACATGAAGCTAACTGCATTGATAAACTCTGATAGAATCCTGTTGCACTTCCTGGCGACTTGAGAGACTAGTTCTTCCTTAGAAACCATCTATGAATTAAGATGAAATAACACTGTAGTAAACATTATTTTACATTCAAAGCCTGAACATTGTATCATTTAATATCTAGATCGCTTTTTAGCAGAACCAATATTCTTGCAGCCAAGGCCTTAGATGTGATAGCGTGGCTAGAGTTGGAGCAGTGTAATTGCAACTGCTACCCGCTCTTGATGATTTGCGGATGGGAGCCTAATTCTCAGTCTTAAATTACGTTTCTATCATATCCCGTTCAAGAGAATCCTTTTACAGCAAATTCAATCTTGTGTTGTGTACTTCGCGGACCAAGTCGTTCGCATTAATTTCAAGCGAGTTCTTGTTTTCACCAGATCAAGAGAACAGCCTGTTTCCAGCAGAACCTAAAATGCAGCTGTTGGACCGAAACAATTCCCCAGACGTTGCTTCAAGAATTCCAGTCAATAAGTCATCCGTGGTCTACATCGGATCTTTAAATAGAAATAAGAGAAAGCAACAAGACGAAACAGATCCAGGGCGCATTGTAAGTCTAGCTCCCCTATTTTTCATTTGCATGATTCATTATAATGTAGGGACCACTTTTGAATCTACTTAATTCTACTGATTAAATTTATATTCAGACTTTCAGACTTTGTCCTATGCCGCAGGCTTATAAAGAATCCAGATAAAGAGCTGTATTACCGCAATTTTATGCCAATGGAGCTGGAAGGCTTAGTGTTGTTTGGCAGGTCATTCGCCGCGGAAACCTGATATCTCACTCTAGGCCGCATACTTTCCTGCACAGTATCTAGGTTTTCTGCGTGATGCAGAATTTTCTAGACAATCAAGATTATGTCAAAAACTAAATAACATGTTTCCGATATCTAGCAGTTTTAAATTCGTCTACAGAAAAATAAAACATCTACAGAAATATGAAACAGCCGCCATTGTGTAGATGGAAGGAATTCGTTATCTTCCTTGGATTCCACTGGTAACAGTTTCCATATGTAAGCGGCAGTGGGTCGGCAACCTTTCAGTCTTTAATCCACAACTGGGTTTATATATTTCCTAGCTTATAGTTTTCGATCTATGATCTGACGTTTTGAAGGCCGACCTCCTCTTGACCGCGCGTACGGCGCGATTCAATTGGCGCATGCTCAAAGGCAATAAATTGTGAATCACGTTGACATGTCAGGCGGCCGTCCGTCACAGTTTTCTGCACGTATGACGAAATCATTTTCCTGACGAAATACCGTCCCTTTCTGGCTAATTTCAGATAGAAATGACGTTCTATTTCTTCACTTTCTAACAACAACTTTCTTCACAGATTTACAACTGCCATGTTTGTTTGCATATTTTCGCAAAGCTGTTCTCGTGATTCTGGTGGTCATGCTTATTGCTATCTCCAGTTGAACGTACGTACGTGGTTTCGGTTTCCAAAATCTTCCTTACACGCGGCCAAGTGGAGGTCGGCCTTTATACTTTTGAAGAGTGACAGACGAAAAACTGTAGTTCGTTCAAACAAAGTTTGCTTTTTGCAAGGCCATTTTCATTTTTGTAAATGCTCCGATGTAAGATGCAAGATATTTTACTGCAAAAAAGTACCTTTGCAAATCGTCTTTTTTCTTTGATTGTTTTTCCCTCTTTCATTGAGTGCTACCTTTTCGTTTCGCCTTCTCATCCCTTTTTCCCTGCACATAAAATGGCTATTAAGGATTCTCCTGCAA